AGGAATGAGGCTAGAAGGGGCACCCTGAGCTCTCACCACAGGCTCACTGGCCCCCAGGCAGCGTTGCAGAAACAGCTTAAGACCCTGGAGGAGGCAGAGGCTAAAACTCCCGTAGGGAAAAAGAAGAATGATGTGAAAACCAGACTTCTGCAGCTGGAAAATGTTTGGGCTCTTGAGAAAGAAGCAAATTCAAGGGAGAACAACATGTTTGGTGTCTCCCCATTCTTAGAATGCCAGGCTACACTCTCTAACTTCTCTTACTACTGACTCTACGCATGTACTTTTCTAGCCAACCAGCTCGCAGCTGCTAACAGGGTTGGTTATGTAACCCTCGTGCCTGTTAAGGGTTCGTAACCAAACCCCAACCTCAGGCATCCCACGGGTCACCAAGTGTCCAGGGAGTGGACAGAGGGAGCAGAGATGGCCTTTCTGGGCAGCTCAGTTGGCTCTAGTGTCCCCTGCCATTGTCCTTAGGAAGCTCTTGTTGGTCTTACAGGACAAAAACAGACTGCTTGGAGCCCCGCTTCCATCCTCGGACATCTGAGTCCTCTTCCTGCTAACGCTGAGCAGGACCCATCAGTGCATATGCCAGTCACTGTCCTTGAACTGCAAGTCCCTGTGCTGTTGGAACAGCAACAGAGGAGGCTCTCCATTCAAGAAAAGGGCCCCTCTGCTACTGTGTTCGAGGCTGCCTGATACCACCTAGGGGGCTGAAGGCTGGGCATGAGTGCCCCAGTGGGCTCTAGATGCTGCTACAGCTAATGCCTTCAGGGGCAGCCTCAAGGCAAGGAGGTAGCCTAGAGATGTTGATCTGTTGGCAAGGTGCAGAGAGTGCCTAGACGTGCCGCCAGGCTGGCACTTGCTCTGTTTCAGAAGCCTGGAATTCTAGAAGGGCTTTTCCAGATGCTGCAGAGCATGGCTTCAGGTGCTCCTATCCTGGCTCTTCGGGAGATAGGGCTACCTTGGAAGATGTTATGGTCACTTGCATACCAGGCATGGCCGTGTGACATGGTCAGTGCTCTGAGTGCAGTGTCATTGGTTTCATTAACTCCCATACAGCACACCCGTGAAGTGCCTGCCTCATATGGAGTTGGAAGCTCCATGAGATATTGTGTCACTTGTCCAAGCAGGTGATGCTGGTTTACAGCAGACCTGAGTCTGTCCTGGAGTGTGATCACAGGCATGTAGTGAGACCTACATTTCAGCTCAGGCACCGGTTCCTGCACCATGCACAAGTTACTTCACTGAAAAAAAATAGAAAATCATGTAGGATTTATGATAAAGCAAAAGGACTAAATGTCAATGCACTACCCAGCTTAAGAAAGAAAAGAGCATAGCTAGAAGCCCCAGGGCATGTCCTCAAGCTTCCTTGCTCCTCCAGGAGGTCACCCACGAAAGGGCTGTTGATTGCCATCTGGGCATTGCTTCATGCTCCTGTGTCGTATGCAGGTGTCCCTGAATGACATGGATCCTTGTTTATGGTGGCCTGACTTCTAAATCTCATCGTCCACGAAGTGGAGATGGTGCTGTGCCTCAAAAGGGGCGTGGAGCACAAGATGAATGTATGAACATGCACCAATAATCATGGCTGTTCCATAGCAAGCCCTCCACAAATGGAGCCTGGTCTGGTTTCAGGCCCAGCATGAGCATTTTGGGGATGTGCTCCATGTGTGAGTCCACAGCTGCACTCATGCATGGAAGCAGCCAGTGCCTAGAATCACACTCTGCTGTTCCTTTCAGATACTTCCCCATGGACAGATATATATGTCCAGACTTGTGCTGTTCAGATTCTCCACCCCCGTCCCGAGTGGTCTGTCACTCACTGACTTGAGTCCTGGAAGGCTGCCCTTGTCCTGACATGCTGCACTCCCCAGGCTGTTTGCCCCACAACTACAGTCACAGTTCAAGTTTCAGCAGGGTCTTCACTTATTTGATAGTGTTTATTGGGCACCTTCTATGTGCTAGCACAGCTAGGGATTACAGCTGGGAGCAAAACAGATGTTTGGAACTTTCATCCCCAGAGGGAAGCACCATGGTTTTTGCATGTCCCAGTGTTAGGAATCAATGTGCTATCTCATTTTGAGGATGAGGAAACAAAGGCCATGCTACTCAAACCATGTACTTTTTTTAGGGTCACATGCATGTGTGGTGAAAGCCTACAGGAATGTATAGAAATGAGAATCCAGTTCACACAAAACCTGCAGCCTGAAGGAGCAGACGCCCCTGAGTCCACCAGCATCCCTCACCCCCAGGCTGGGCCCCCAGCCCCAGCCCCTGTTCTGTGAAGGCAGGTCTTCTGTCCCTAGCACCAGTCAGTGGGCCCTTGGCCACAACTCCAGTGTTCTTGGTCTTATAGCCACTTCTAAATAAACAAATGGGACCATCTCCCCAAACTGCAGCAGCCATAGGAACCCAGGCTAGGTGAAGGTCAGAATTCCAGGATCTTGAAGGCCATGGTGAGGATATTGACCTTTATCATAAGAGAAAGCAAAGTCCAGAGAGTGACATGACCACATTTGGGTTGCAAAAGAATTTCTGTCAGCAGGGATGGCCTGAACAGCCATATGGCCTATCTACGGTCACCTCTGCTCACTCTTGCTCTACACACAAACCCTTTTAACTTTTTTTCGTAATCATTTGAGACCCCTGCCCTCACCTACCCACCCTGCCCACCACACACACCTGCCTTGAATTAATTTGTTTTCCATCCTGGAGCCAGAGTGACAGTTTCAAAACACAGACCTCATTTGTTTTACGCCCCTACTTGAAACCCTTTGCTGCTTTTAAAATTTCAATGACTTCTATTTCTTTATTTTTCTCTTGAGTTCCTCATGAGATAAAGTTATACTTATGCTTATGAAAGAGGTGCTTATACTTGATATTATAAGGATAATACATAAAATAAACATGAGATCATGTGACTGAGTATTTTTAAATTGAAAAAAATATGAGGGAATGCCAGATAGAGACCTATTAGGGGGAATAAATGTCAGTCAGACCAATATGTATTAAGAATACTCTAAAAAAAAAAAGAATACTCTAAGCAGCAAGTATAGATAGGTTTTAGCTGAGTCATCTGTGATATTTATTGGTAAATTGCTCATATGCCATACATCAATGATGTTGCTGAAGCAGAGACTCTAAGGGTCCTCAGAAGACAAAAGTAGCTCCAGGCAGACTTGGTTCATGTAGTAGCTGTTCATACTTAATTTTTTCTCTTGAAGAATCCACCTGATATCAGATTTCTCTCCATAAATCGTTGTGGCCATCTTCCTAGGTTTCTCCTCCCAGTACTGTGACCTCAGAGTATAGGATGGGGGGTAGAGGGCTCTCCTTAAATATGAAAATGTGCCGCGTGTTTGAGTCTTCTGATTCCTTGTACTGTTAGCTCCATGCTGGAGTTCATTAGTGGAAGATGAATATCTTTTGCAGTAACCTGAGGACTCAAACCCAATATTGTGCATCAGTACCAACCACAGACACACATTGCAGTTAGGATATAAGATGCAGGAACAGTTTTGCTATAAACACAAAGTAAATGGAACCAAGGTGCTGAATACCTTAGTGAGTTGTTAATTGCGTAACCATTTTAGAAGCTAAGAAAGCTTTCTTTTCTGTAGCTTATTTCTAGGGAGGTGCAAACCATAGCATGTTAACACTGGTTAGAGGAAAAGGAAAAATGTGCCATCTAAGAAAGGTGAAGTATAGACGTCAGGATCGCCATGCCTTCCAACTACAAGATCAGACTCAGGTGGACTGTATGTGGTGGCCAGTGCCTGGAGTTCCCACTCTTTCTTTTTTCAATTTTCATGCAGAATTGAGTTGGATAGGCTTTCTGAAGAAAACATGTTGTTGAAAAATGAGCTGGGAAGGATTCAGCAAGAACTTGAATCTACAGAAAGGACAAATGATGCACAGAGGTAAGGGCCCTTGTCTCAGTGGTTCCACTTGGAACTTCCAGCCTATGAAATGTTTTGTTCTTTGTAGAATGAGCTTAGATGGTATTGCTATAGAAAGTGATACTTGTTCACAGATCAAACCATAAATGGAAAACCATAAGTGGGCGAGCTGTACTGACCTCTGACTAGCCTGGACAGGCATATTCCCGTCCAAATGTTGGCAGCCATCTTCATTTCTGAGTGCTTGGTCTCAGAAGTATGCAATAGAGAATGCGTGCATGCTGCAGCACAGGCCTACTTATCTCTGAAGTCGATGTACATGCAGTTCTCACCCCTATAGAAATATTCCACACCATGCTAAGGGATGGGGAAAGCTTCAAGCATTTGTGTAGGAGTAAGAGATGGTCCTGAGGCCTTTCTAGGCAAATAGAATCTGTTCGTTCATGTCCTGATAGTAGTTTCAGCTGTGCTTTTCTCAATGTTCATTTCTGGTGTATCAGTTTTAGTGAGTCAGAGTCAGGGGTGAGGGGTGAGGATGGGGACGGGGTGCAGAGAACTGAGCACTGAGGCAGGAGAGACTGTTGGGGGGGGGGCTGGACACAAAATCTGTCAGTGGATTTCTGCTCTCACTACCGCAGCCTTATCTTATCCAAGGATAGTTGGCTGACTTTTTTTTTTTCCACCTCTGAAATTGAAGATGAGCTCAACTCTTAAAATGCTATTTTGATAAAATTGCCATGATGATTAAAATATGAAATCTAACTTGTAGTCAATAAGTGATTGCTATTACATTATAGCAATTCCGAAATCTAAGTTTTTTCACTCTAGAAACCATTTTTTCCTTAAATTTTGCTGCCAGCACCCCTTAGCAATAGGCTTCAGCAGATGTAAGGCTGTTTTGGTCTTTATTTATGCTGCTGAGAGTGAAGTCACATGTTGTGCTAATTAATGTGTACAATTGAGTAAAGTCACGGAGCGTGTTTGTTCTATATTATTGGCAGTGTCCTCTGGTTCTGAGGATTGGGATTTGGATTGGATTAGCAGCAGCAGCATAGAACAGTAACAGAGCTGTGGCTGTAGGGTACCAGGAGCAGATGTAAGAGTGTTATATAGCTACATATCCAAGCTACTGAGGTAACAATGCGCCATGACCAGGAAAAACGAAACTGTCTGCTCAGCGATATTGTTAATTTTGTTTCTTCAACAGAAAGGAAATTGAGGTTTTAAAGAGAGACAAAGAAAAGGCCTGCTCTGAAGTGGAAGAGCTCAACAAACAGGTCAAGTATTGATACCTCCTTTTTTTCCCTCATGATTTTGAAATAATTTCAAACTTAAAAAAAGAAGTAGAGAACTTTTTTCTGAAAGATTTGGGAGTGAGTTGCTGACTTGTCAAACCCCTCCCCCCTCAAAATCAGGAAATGAATATGGATGCGGAAGCCTTAAGTCTCCTACCCTTTGCCAGCTGTCCCACTCATTCAGAATCATGCATAGCATTTAGTCTCCTTCAGTCAGTCTGTCTTTGGTTTTTAGGACCTTGGTACTTTCAGAGATAACAAGTGATTATTTTTTAAAAAGTTCCTCAGTTTAGTTTGTTTGATGTTTCCTTGTGATTAGGTTTAGCTTATATATCTTTGGCAGAAATGTTCCAAAAATAATACTATGTTCTCATTTCATCCTGTGAGGTTTACAGTGACTTGTCCCATTCCTAGTGATTCCTGATTAGGTAGTGTTGGCGAGGCTATTCCACAGTAATGTTACTTTTCCCTTTGTAATTAATGAGTATTTTATGGGTAGATACTTTGATATTATGTAAATATTCTGTTTTTCATCAAACTCTCACCCACTTAGTTTAGCATACTTTGTTTCTTGGTAGAGTCAATTATTACCATGATAGTGGCCAGTTGGTAACTAATCCTACCATTCCTTTGATATTTATTAATTAGTATTCCAGTATAAGGAAGAGCTTTTTCTTTTCTCCATTTATTTATTCATTTATTTCATTATATTACTATCATAGGCTCGTTTTATTCAATGGGTTATTAACATGTTACCCTCAGTTACTGATTGCTTCTAGACGGCTGTCTTCTCCCTGTGTCTTCATATGGTCTTCCCTGGTTCGTATCTGTGTCCTAATCTCTTCTCGTTAGGACACCATCATATTGGATTAGGGCCTACTCACATAACCCCATGTTACCTTAGTCACCTCTTTAAAGACCCTATTTCTAAATATAGTCACATTCTGAGGTAACTGAGATCTAGGCATCATAGGAATTGGGAGGTGGGACACAAATCAGCCTATTACAAATATCATAACCAAGCTATTGACATTGATACAATCCATGGATGTTATGCAGATTTCAGCGGTTTTACTTGTGTACTCGTGTGTGTGTGTGTGTGTGTGTGTGTGTGTGTGTGTGTGTGTGTTAAATTCTACACAGTTTTATCCTGTGTAGGTTCATGTATCCAGATACTGAACAATTCTAACTCCACAAGGATCCTCATGTTATTTTATAATCACATTCACCTCCTTCCTGCCCACCTACCTTAGGCTCTAACCCTTGTCCTTTGCTTCTAAAATTGTTTGATTTAAAAATGTTATATAAAAGGAATCATACAGAATGTAACCTTTGGGACTGACTTTTCTCATTTATCATACCCCCTATAGATTCATCCAAGTGGCATGTATCAGTAGCTAGCTTCTTTTCATTGCTGAATAGTATTCCAAGGTATTGATGTTCCACAGTGTGTTTTGGCACTTAAAAAAAAGATAGCTGGGCTGATTTCAGTTGAGGGCAATCGCAAATAAAGTTGCTATGAACATTCCTATGCAGGTTTTTGTATGCACTTAAGTTTTCATTTATTTCACTGGGATAAATGCCCAAGAGTATAGTTACTGAGCTGCATGGTAGTTACATGTTATATTTTATAAGAAACTGACAAACTGCTATCCAGAATGGCTATAACAGTTTACATTTCCACTAGCAATGTATTTTTTTTTTTTTTTTCAGCAACGTATTCTTGATCCAGTTTCTCCATATCCTTGCCACCATTTAGTGTTGTCACTATTTTATTTTGGCTACTCTGATAGGTGTGTACTGAGACAGAAAATCTGGAGAGGCTGAAGCTAGGTATCCCCTTCTCACATTGATTCCATTCTGGTAAAGTAGTTTCGTTTGAGGACAGGATAACAGAGTGCTGTGCATGTACTTCAAAATGGGCACTGTATTAGTCTGCTCAGGTTGCCATACAAAATACTACAGACTGGGTGGCTTAAACAACAGAGATTTATTGTCTCAGAGTTCTGGAGGCTAGAAGTCCAAGGTCAGGGTGCTGGCTGATTTGGTTTCTGGTGAGAATTCCCTCCCTGATTTGCAGACAGCTGCCGTCTCACTGTGTCCTCACATGGCCTTTCCTTGGTGTGGACACACAGAGGGAGAGAGACTGCTCTTCTTTTTCTTCTTATAAGGTCACAATCCTATCAGATTAGGACCCCACCCTTTGAGCTCATTTAACCTTAATTACCTCCAAATACAATCACATGGGGGTTAGGTCTTCAATGTATGAATTTGGAGGAGGGGGAGGAATGTGCTCCATAGCAGTCACTTTATTGTCTCCTTGTTAGAAGCATGAGGGCATTTTCCTGATGAGGCTCAGGAAAGTTGGGGGCTCCCCGAAGACTGGTGTCCTACGACTTTTTAACTCTCAAACCAGTCCAGTCACAGTCTCCAGCATTCGTCCTTACAGTTCCGGTTTCCTGTTGTGTTTCAGCTGCAGCCATCTGCTATTGGTAAACTGTGATTCTCTTTGCCTGACTTCAGTTTTCAGGGCATTGGTTTTTCCGGTGACCTCAATTCTCTGATGAATCTAAGAAGAATTATTGATTTTCAGTTTAGTTAGCTTTTTTTCTTATTGAGAGAATGGGAATGATGAATTCCAAGCTCTTTACATGCCAGACCAGAAACCAGAAATACTATTATGTTTTTAATTTGGGTTTCCACATGCTCACTGTTAGGACATACAAGTACAGTGGATTTTTGTGTGTTGATCTGCTTCCTGTAACCTTGCTGAGTTTACTTATTAGTTCTAGGAATGCTTTTGTCGCCTTCATCTTCTTAAACCCCTGCTCCATCCCTGAGACAAGTCTCCATAGCTCTTCTCTCCTAGCCTGCCTCTTCCCATGCCTGGCTCATGAGAAGTTTCTGTTGTGGAGATGGCCTCAGATCACTCATGGGCAGGTAACTTGTCTTGGCTCCCAGATTTGGGTGTTTCTTTCCAAATGGTGAGTATGTGGTAGTCTTGCTTGGGACTTCTTGATCAGGAGGATAATTCATGGATTGATTTAAGACGAAAACTTCAGACTCTGCTTCTGCCTGAGGACCAGCTGTTCTGTAAATGACCCATCTGGGGATTTCTTGGCCCCAGAGAGCAGCTTGATCCCTTCCCTGTTCCAGCTTATGTCTAAGACATATCTGTAAATGAATCATAGGTATCCATTTGCTTTATTTCCCTCAGATTCTTATTATGAAAAACTGTAAACACACAGAAAAGTTGAAATGATGTACACTGATCAGCCGTATATCACAACTTAATTCAACAGTTGTTAGCTGTCATATGTGCTTTAGTTGTTTATATCTGTCTTTGTATTTCTGTGCATGTGTTTGTGTTTTCTGAACCATTTGAAAGTAAGTTAGAGATATAATAATACTATTTTAGTGGGTGTCTCCTAAAAATGAGTGTGTCTTCCACCTAACCACAGTACTGCTGTCACACCTAACAAACTTAATCATAGTTACTTAATATTATCTATCCAATATTCAGACCATATCCACATTTCTCCGATTATTCAGAAATGTCTTATATAGTAGATTTTTTGGAACTGGTATCCAGTTAAGGTTGACTTACTACATT